GACCAGCTGCCTGCTCAAACCCAGACCTGGGAGTTAAAATTGTTCCCCAAATGCCAACTCAATCTTTGACTCTCCCCACTCCTGAACTCATTAGGGCTCCTCAGCCTTGCTAAATAAGGAAGAAACCTGACATTATCATAGCTTTCCCTCTGCTGTATCCTCTGCTGGCATCCCCACACTTAATCCTATCTCAAGATTGTCAAACAGGTATTTGTATTTGTGTTTTAATGGAAGAAAACATTCAGGTTCAGGGAAGTAAAGTCATTTACCCTGTTCACAAGCAGAAATTGTGGCATTTACACCAAGGTCTACACCACCTTACATTTTGGGGTACCCACTGAACCCCATCTTTGCTTTGCTAGCCCCATTTGCAGGCCTTTTGCAATGATTTCTTCTGTCTTTATGCTGATCTCAACTTGGAGCTCACAGTGACCAGGTGCCAGGGGGCCAACTCTGTGCCAAACCCCACTGTGGATCTCTTGGCAGTTCCCAGAGGTCTTTCTTCCATCCTGTCTTCTCGGGAAATATTATTAATGGGGAATATGTCAGGGTTCAAACAGTGTTGAAAATAAAACCATTGCTGAAAACGGTACTGTTACTGGGAGTGTGGAGGAACTAGAAAATTAAATTAGGAAATGGCAGTGTGGGCTAGAAGGTGTATAATTTAGGTCTGGGTAGAAAAGTGAGACAGACATGTCAAAAAATAAAGGAGGAAGGAAGGAAAGAAGGATGGGGCAGGATAAAAAGAAAAAAGGGAAGGAAGAAGAAAGACAAAACTTGCTAAAAGACCTGGGGTATTTATTGTTTCTGAGAATTCTTGATGACTTTCTCTCCCCCTGCCACCCTCATCTTCCAGTCTTAATTGACTATATCAGGAAATTAGCTCTGTAAAAACCTCAGGCAGGCTTCTTAGGGACAGTGACAAGGCAGGAATTCAAGCCTGACTTGGAGACTGTGGGGAGCCTGCATGTGGTCTGCAGGTAAACAGGCTTTCTTTCTATCTTTCTATCGGGATTAAGGCTCACAATGTGATAGGGCTGCATTTCCCTGAGTTTTTTCCCCAAACCCATCATGTATTTATGATACTTAATATAATCTAAGTCTGATCCAGATAGTGTGTCATTAAGCAGATCATTGTGTATTATTATTATTATTATTATTATTTAGGTAGACAACTGAAAATAGAGGGATGGTGGTCTGGTACATTCTTGCTTGCTCTTGATAGTGGCCCTTTTTCAGGAATCATGCAGGAGTCCTGCCCTGACTCTGAGAAGGGACTATCCTCTGGCACTGCAATGAATTTTTTTTTTTTCCCTGTGGTCATTCTTCCTAAATTTGGAGCGAACACCAGCTTTCTACCAGGCGGTCCATTCAAGAAGGCAGAATGGTCTGCCTCCCCCTCCTATGCCAATCATGCTTTCTGCCCCATTCTTATCTTTCCTGAGTGTGGGTGGGGTGGAAAGGGAAAGGCTGGGATAAGGGACATGTGGAGCAAGCAGGGGGTTTAGGTGGTCCTATGGGATTCTGACTTCTCTCGAGTAGTGCTGTGTCCCCAGAGATGCCGGTTTCAACGGGATTAGAATATTAATTCCGCTAACTCCAGAATACAGAGAGCTATGAGCAAGGAACAAAAACCCTGGAGAAAATAGAAATCAAAGATGTATTGAGAAAAGAAGAGAGGAGGGAAAGTACTAAACTGAGTTCTCAAAGAAGCCTAAGGGAGGATGAGCGTGAAGGGCACTGGGGAGCATGTGCGCAGGGAAGACTGAAATGTGGTGCAGTGGCTAGGGTCAAGGCCAGGTGAATTTCCTTCCACCATCGGAGACCTGAGGCCCTGGGACTGTTGTGCTGGTGGGAAGTAAAGACCTTCCCGCAGAGGATCCTTGATGGGGGCCGATGGGTGGAAGTCCATTGGCTCTCCTTCTCTTGTCCAAGTGACCTCCACCTGCACCCTGGAGGAGAATTCACACATCCTGGGAGAAGAGATATCTCTCACATGCTGGCACGGCTTCTGTTGAGGAGTGAGGGTTAGCAGAAATATGCTTTCTGAACTCGAAGGTTCTTATAAGGAAGAAAAGAATTTTGCTGGAGTAGCTTCTAGGATTACAGGATCACACTTCCCTAGCAAATGTGCAAGGGAAAGGCAGTGCCAAGTTCAGCCCAGGTCCCAACAAAGGCCTGAGGGAAGCAGAATGAGGACCGGAAGGGAAGTTTGTAGAGTCGCTGCCATGTCACAGGCACTTCACGTGTGTATTTCTTTTTCACCAGCTTTATCCAGATATAATTCCCATACGTATAATTCACATTGGGAGTGCACATCAGTGGCTTTTTTTCTTTTTTAAGCATTTTCACAGAGCTACACAACTATCATCACAATCAACATTAGGATATTTTCATCACCTGCAAAAGAATCCAATACCCATTAGCTGTCATTCCCCATCTCCTCGGCAACCACCTGTCTTTCTTTCTCTATAGATTTGACTAAACATCTCATATTAAAGAAATCAGACAGTATCTGGCCTCTTTCATTTCACATATTTTTTTCAAAGCTCATCCATGGTGTACCATGTACCACTCCTTTATAGGGCCAAATAATATTCCATTGCATGGCTATACCTCATTTATTGATTTGTCAGTGGGTGGCTATGTGGGTTGTTTCCACTTTGGGGCAATGAATAATGCCGCTGTAAACATTTGTGACTTTTGTGGGGACATGTGTATATTTCATTCGGTCTCCATAACAACAAAACCACTATAACCGACTCATTATCTCATTTTGAAAAACTGCAGCTCAGGGAGGTGAAATAACATTTTTGAAACTGAAAAGCTTCTCTCCACTTGCTGTGACTGTGGTAGAAGGGCAAATAAGGGAGAATAAAGGGGCATTTTGCTTCACCTTTCTCTGGTCGTTATCCACATGATTGGGCAAGGAGGGCATGAATGAGTGAGCCTGCGTCACTGGCCGCCCGTGGTAGGCACTGCTGCTTTCCCTCTGGAGGCGGGTCTGGGGGCAGGGGGCCGTTTGCCTAGCCCTGGCATGGCTCTGAGTTCTGGAGGGATGTCCCCTTCCTGCTCACCCTCTTTATTTCAGTGGCAGACATGAGAATAGGTGCAGAGCTGCTCAAGTCTCTTGCTGGGGTCACCTTGAGAGGAGCAAGATGGGAAGTCTCTGTAGCAGGGCCCCCATACTGAGAGGGCTCCCCAGGGTGGGCTCTGCGGAGCCCACACCAACTGCCAGCAAGAAGAGCTCCTATGAGAGGAATCCAGCATGTGCCCAAGGACAACTCTGTGGCATGGAACAACAGGGTCACCCAGGCTGCTGGCTCTGCTTCCTTCTGGCCCCAGGGTTTTCCCAGAAAGTTCTTGGACATGGAAGGGTAGGTGACGTGCCGCCCCATTAATGTGATTTTGATGGCTCCGCAGAACTCAAGCCCAAACCGGTAATCATTGACCCTCAAGTCTCCCTGGGGCATTGCAATAGAATCTACAGGAAGGCTGGCTCTCCAGCAAATCCACTGCCCTATGTTTTATCCTAAAGCCTTGCCCTTCTTGTCACCTTTGCGGGAAGCGTGATGCTAGTGCAGCCTTGACACTGGTGTAGAAAAGCCCAGAATTAAACGCAGCACAGATAAAGACATGACTGGATTCTTTCATTCTATGCATGGCTGGAACTTGAAAGAGAAACTAGAGCTGGAGGTCATATTACTGAAGGTGTTAACAACTTGATCACTTCCTATATCCCATTGTTGTCTAAGCTCTTTCTGTCCATCTGTAAGATACATATGAAGGTCTGCATTTTTCAGAGGAGGAAATTGACACTCTGCAAGACTATGTAGCAATCACTGTTAACTCTAGTAAGTGACTGACTTCATATTCAAACCCCCAAACCTACTTCTTACATCCTGTCTAGTAGGTCACTTGATGGGGGCTATGACAGAAAAATTTTGAACAGGAGCTAGAATGTGGAACTAGATGGTACTTAAAATCCCCCTCTGAATCTAAGAACTGGTGTTCCATGCCTCCAACCTTGCATGTTTATCAAACTGAGTGGTTCCACTCTCACTGCCTGAATGCAGTGAGATGGACACTAGTCCTAAGTCCCAATACTCAAGCTGGTTTTTCCCCATTTTGTGCATCTCAAGCTTGAGAGTTCTATATATTTTCTTTAAAGCAAAGTGTATTTTCTTGTTGTAGACATTCCGTATGTTCAGGCCTCCTGTCCACATGGAATTCATTCCTGTCTGGGTTGGAAAGACTGAGTTGATGTAATACCAACTCAAACCACAGAGAACTAGAAGGGTCAGACTAATAACAGGATCTCCGCACACACCATAAATACAACTTTTTATAAACATTTAAATTTTGACTAAACTGCAATGCCATTTGAGGTGGGTGGCTCAATATGTGAAATTTAAGAATAGTGTCATTACAGATGGGTCCAGTTTCCAGAACAACAACCTCCACCCAAACACACATACTTTTACAAAATAAACAAGGGGGAGAATGAGCATTTGATTTGCAAAAATTATTCTTCACTTTACAAAAAATTTGCTATAGGATTCCTTTAAATACTTAATATCCTATTGTGTATGTAACATGACTTTACTATACACAATTTCTGTTCATACACCATCTTCTGGGACATACACACTTTTCAATATAAGATTATATATTCAAAGTAACGACGTTCTTTTTTATAGTATTGAGAATAAAGATGAGCAGACTATGGATCATTTAGTCTACAGTCCTAAATTCATTAGAAACTAGAACTTACATTAGAGTAGTGACCTTCAGGAAGGTCTGGATTGAGACTAAGAGAGTGGTCTAAGAACCCGAGTTAAAATCAAGTCCACCAGAGACAGATCTGACCCTTTGACCCTTTCCTGTGTGGAAGGCCCTATTTCTCCCTGGTGCACACTAATTAAAATTTTACTCAGGATTCTGTAGGGACCTGTCCTCTCTCTCTCTGTACAGTAACCATGTTTGTTGTGTTTTACTAGGGATCTTCCAGACTGGGTCTTCACCTCCATCCTGGGTCCTGACCAAGACATCTTGGCAAGTTCCAAGCCCAACAGCTTAAATCCCAAAGAGGGCAGCTCATGTTGGCCTTATCAAGGTTCACTCTATACGAAACTTTGAAAATCATCTCCTCTTCAGACAGAGGCAGTGACTTGAATTTCATGTTGACTTCTAAATAAGAAACCCCTTGGACATCCCAGGCTACAAGAAAGCTGGTAAGCATTTGATTGGGTGAAGCCACTGAGGCAAAGCCTGTCTTCCAATCATCTGCCCTAGCCAGGTTTTACAGAGATTGAATCTCACCATTAAGAGAGCAGCATTAAACTGATATTGCCCTCATCATGTCCCCTTTTGAAAAATCAATAACCACTCTGAATCTTCCTTAATTTCAATGAGTATTTCTTTGACAAATATTTATCGAGCTTGTGGTCTCTGCCTAGCATTGGAATAGGGAGGTATCAGTGGAGGACACAGTTGGTATTGGTGCCCCCAGATCAGCTCAAAAGTAAAGGTCATGTTAAGATTATTACTGTTCATGCTGCAAATGAAAAGTACAGCACCATTAAATATCACACGGGAGACATGCAGATTGAAATGGGGGTGGTGGTCAGGAAACTCCTCTCTCTTTGAGAAGCTGACATTTAAATTTCTTTTTCAGAAATAACATTTTCGCTGAAGTCAAGAAGTCAGGTGGGTGTGGGGAGAAGAGAGTGCCTGGTGACCTCAGCAGGGGAAATAACACGGGAGGCAGGGTCAGAGAGGTGGAGTGACTGCCCAGCTTCTTAGTCAGAACCAGGCAGGGCTGGACCTGTGGACATGTGTCTTCTTGCCTCTGTTCCTCTGTCTGTCAAAGCTGGGCCTGCTGCTGCAGCCCGTGAAGGCAAGGGCCTCGGCTCACTGCTACTACCTGGTTCTCCTCACCCAGCAGGGCTGGAGGGCCTCCATCTTCCCACAGTAACCGTTGTCATCAGAATAAACTTTTGACTGTAGAAGATGCCAAACCATACCTTATAGGGATTTATAAATGTCTCCAAGTGGAAGATGCCTTTCCTATAATTTCAGGCTATGGCCTACAGTTTTCTCAAAGGACTACCTGTAGAAGTTTCCATAAGAAGCATAGTGCTTCATGGGATAAGATCTTCAGCAACATCCCCAGTTGCCCCTTAATTCCATCATCAATATTATGACCATTTTGGAACTCTGAGGCCCCTCTAGTGACATCAGGGCCTGTGGTCTTCTCCTCCAATGCACACCGTTGGGTATAATCCAGCGTACCCTGTACCTTCTGCCTGCCCCACCTCTTCTCTCCACCTATTTTGGTGCATTTGAATACTCTTCTTTGTCTCAAGAAACCCATCCCCTCTCCAGTAACCAAGTCCTCCTCGTCCTTCAAGGCACAGTATCTAATAAGAGTTTTATTTCTTGCTAGTTCTTTCCCTCTGATGTGTTCTCTTACATGAAGCAAAGCAATATATGAAAAGCCATCACTTCTGAGGTATAGCAAGCAGGTGCTAAGAAATGTATGCCTTCTTTCCACATTGTTTACCAACTATGTGGAGTATGCCATAGGGCCTAAAAGCAAAGACTTCTCCATCAGGTGGATCCAGATTCTTCTAATTTTTGATTTTTTGGCCTTTTGCTTTGTGACCTTGGGCAAGTTGCTTATCTTCTCTGAGCCTCAGTTTCCAGACTCTTAGAATTACTCTGAGATCTGAATATGATACTGCATGTCAGAGATTTCACACCTGTGCCTGGGCAACTCTATTCTTTCAGGGCCCAGAATGTCACTACTAAAGAAGGGCACTATTTGCATTGTGCTCTAGGGGTCGCTGTTCACACAGAATGCAGCTGTGCAACCCCTGGAGCTGGCTACAGGATACTGATACCCGGAGACTTTTCTCAGTCCTGCTCTTTCCAGTCATTCGTTTTGAGTTATGCACCTCCACTTTTTCCTTGTCTTACTGGAAAAAGTAAGTAACTCTGGCACGGTCCACTCACACCCAAGAAAACAAAGTTTCCCCTTGGTAACATGCCATGCTCTATTAAGTTTAAGAATAATTCTTAAAAAATCTTTGGAGGAGCCAAGTGCCTTCAACTGTGCAATTTTCTCTTGTTCCTTAGGGCTCTCCCACTTTTCTGCCACCCTCCTCAGCCCCCATGGTTGTACTACTCTTTAAAACTCTGAAGGAGGCAAAGACAGTGTCCCCTTTCTGTCCTTCTTTGCATAGTTGTGTCATGCTAGCATTTTCGAAAGAAGCAATTATGAAAAACAATAGAAAATGACATTGGAAAGGCACACAGAATAAATGTTCAGCTTCCAAAACATTATTTTCTGACTCTATATAAAATGCACACTGTCACCAAAGATGAGTAAGTCCTCTGGGACACTGTCCCTGGGTCTAGCTTTGCCAGATCTCAGACTGTCTGGACGGATAGAAACATCACAGCTCCCAGTGCTTCCCACTGGGACCCATGAAGAGGTACAGGCTTTTGTAGTGAGAGTTTAATTATCTCAGGCTAAACAAGAACCCTGGTAAACAAGTTAACTAGATGGAATTTAAAATCTGAACTTAAAGATTCTAATTTCTTTTAATGACTTTTTGTATTTAGCTGGGTTATTTCCTTGATTCTTCTCATCTTCATTCTAAGTGTATATAAGCATGGACTTCTGGAAACAACCAAAGGGATTGGTTCTTACCACTTGGCTTTTATTATCTCTTAGTCCCACTTCTTATTTTTTTATTTTTATTTTATTTCTTTGGTACCAACCATTGAAGCCAAGGGTGCTTAACCACTGAGCCATATTCCCAGATTTTTTTTTTAATTTTGTTTAGAGACAAGGTCTCAACGAGTTGCTTAGGGCCTTGCTAAGGGCTGGCTTTGAACTTGTCACCCTCCTGCTTCAGCCTCCCAAGCCACTGGGATGACTAGCATGTGCCACTGTGCTGAGCCACTCCTCTTCTTTTGTTATGCGCTTATGACCTTTTGTATTGCCAAGGTCCTACAGTCAGTGATCACCAGAAACACCCTGTATTTGGGCAAATTGGGCTTTTAGCAGCTAGTGAGAACATGTGCCGTGAACATCCTTAGGAGTGATTTAGGTGACTTGGGCAAGGTCTAAGGAAGCAACAGAGTGCTTTGGATTAAGTGCTGTCAGGAACTGGGGGGTAATTCTTTAGATACGTTAATAAATCTCATTATCCAGAAGGAAAGAGAATTGGCACGTTCTGGGTAAAGATGCATCAATCACTCAAACTAGCCAATACAGGGGGATTTGGGATTGTTTTGTGGTTTGAACAACAGTCATGTTTTTGTCTGTGTTCTAACAAGATTACAGAAAGGGCTTGTTTTCATCCTGATCCATCATGGTCAGAGTGGTCTTGCCTGATGCTGATGTTTGTGAAGTTGTCTGTCTTCAATATGAGAACAGCAAGATCTTGCCCTGAGCGTCAGCCCAGCTCCCAGATGGCAGGGGCAGCCGTCTTCTCTTCTCTTCTTCTCTGAACACACGAATGGCTACTGATTCAGGTCAAACCCGAGTTAATGCCTATGGCAAAAGAGGAACGGCATCGTCCCTGGGTACCATGCCTCTGTTTAGCTTTGCCAAGGATATTCTCTCCCTCTGTCTCAGTCCTACCTTTCCAAGATAAGGCTTCCACCTGGATTGTAGACAAATCCTGTATTAAAACATGTGTGCAATTCCTAGGTCTTCTGTTCCATACTGGGAAGTGGACCGGCCCAATTACACAGACATATTGTGTGGTCAGAACCTTAGTTGCCCTCTCTTGAAAGCCTTTTTTCCTTTTTGCTCTGGTCTGCCATACAGCCCATTTCACTCTGCGTGATCAACCCAAGGTGGCTGTGGAGTTAGTGACAACTGGTTAAACTTCTGTACTAGTTTAAATTTGTGAACCAGTAATAACAATTGCCATTGTTTATTGCATATTGTAATGTTCCAGGAACTTTGCATTTAAATCACACTGTGACTTTTGCAAGTCTATTATTAGAGCCATTTCACAGGTGAGGAAACTGAGGCTGAGAAAGGATAAGTGGCTTGCTCAGGTCACCTGGCCAGTAAATAGCAGAGATAGGGTTCAAGTCCATATCCCTGCTTACCTAACCTGGAGCTCCTTCCACTCTGCCATGCTACCTCTGGTTGTTATCTGTGCTGGGAACAGTCCTGGCCCAGGTCTCCTCTTTTCTCATGATGCCCCATGCATAATATACCAAGTTTTCCGGATCATGCCACTGAGACCAGCTGGCCCTGGAGATATCTACAGGACACAGAGTGCCTACAAGAGCGCCAATACCATCAGACCTTGCTATTCCCTAGCTCTTGTTGCCAGCTCCTCCTCTTTACAAGGAGGGAGGGGATAGGGAAGGCCCACACTGCATTTAGACCCCAGATACACTGACTTCACAGCAGAGAGGTGTCCTGGCACCTACCCCAAGGAAAGGTGGAGGATTCCCCCAGTGTGTTCTCCAATCCAGCCTGGAAGAGGCTAGGAGCCCAAGTACCTCTTTCTATACATAGGAGGCCAGGGAAGATTGTTTCTACCAGCCATGCCAAAGTCTATCTAAAAAGAGCCCCGGTGACCCCAAGTGAATTGCCTGAGAAAGAGAGTAGAGATAACTTCTCTGACATTCCAATCAAAAAGAAAATGCCATCCTCTGTCTACTATAGACTCTGGATGTGATAGGGACAGTCCAGGGAGCTGGATGACTTGATGCTCCTTGATGCTCCGAATATTTGCAAATCTAGCTGGGTGACTGTGATCCAAAAGTTCGAGATGGTTTTCATAGAAAACTGGAAGTCTTCTACTGTTGAAGAGGACAAGCTCTACACTCAGCCATTGGGTCCCCTCTTTGGTGGCTGCCTTAACACCCTGGTGTCAGTACTTTCAGCAAACCTGCTGTGTTGCAATTAGTAAACTACTTTTCTGGGAGCAACGTGAGAGCAGGAATTCTTATTACCTTCTTCATCTCCAAGCACAGCACCTGGTACATAGTAGACGTTCAATAAATACTGGTTAAGAAGGCAGAGATTGTACCCAGTAATCCCATTGAATGCATTGCTATGGAAGGTCCTCAGGAAATATTTGTTGATTCAATTGACTCTTGGCCTGAAATAAAGTAGTAAAATTTCACAGAAACTTGAATTACTTTTGCACCATGGTTGCCAAGGGACTACACAAAATCATTTGACATCTGCTTTCAGGCCACATAGCTCATATTTCCTACCTCTAACATAAAATTTTGACCCTCAGAAATGTCCTGAAGTTAACTAAGGTTGTGTATGAGCTGTGAGAGGTTTAGCTAAAAGGCAGACATAGTCCTTTTTTTTTTTCATTTTTATAGAAAAATAATAGCCTTTGTAATTCTAAGTCAGAGGTAATAAAAGTAGTGCCTGGGTTTCCCACCCCCTCTCTGATACAGTGGCTGCTAAGCATGCTGGGAGTGGAAAGGTAGCAGTGTAAGAAGTGCTATAAGAAATCCCCAATTCACAAGGGCTTGTTCCCAGGGAGATGCCTGCAAAACAGCAACAGCAACAAGAGCCAGCCCTAGGTTCTTCACATTTTAGCCATGAGCATCAACTATTGGTACCTCACTTAAAATAAAGAGGGTTTGGTTGAAGTGAATGTTGCCTGCAAATGAAGCATGTATTTTTACGAAGCATGTGTTTTTATGGAGACAAGGAGATTCAGGAGAAAGATATGTTAGTTTTCAAGAATTTGAAAGGTCTGAAACAGGATGCTTCAGGCTTATTTAGAATTTTGAAATGTCCCTAGAGCACAGCTAGATGGGTGTTCCTTACACCAGTGTCTCCTGTACATCTGCAACAAAAATATAACAAATGGCTCTGGAGCGCTGAGTGACTAGACCCTTACCAGCCCAATGTCTCACAACGCCCCTGGCACTCTAATGGCATGTTTTCCTGGAACTTCTTTCAGCTTCTTTGTCCTTGTTTTCTCCTGTCACTCCTGCCTGGGTCAGATACACAGTTAAATTCAGAGTGACTACTGCCACGCATGGGAATGCCTCTCCTAGAATATCTGTATTAGAGAGGGAGCCCTTTGGCTTCCAAGCAATCTGAGTGACAGCAAACTCCTCATTTTGTACATTGATTAATGTATTCATCAGCGTTCAATAGATATTTATGGAGTTGTGCTATGTGTGACTTCTGACACATCTTTAGGCCTTGGGCTTGGTGTCATTGCTCTGCCTCTCAAAACTGATGGTCTTCGGAGTGCTCCCACTATTACATATCATGGCGACATCACTCTGCATTTGCGTGTTTATGGGCTTATCTGCATTCCCACCCCCTACTCACCAGGGAGCTGTGTAAAGACAAGGATTGTGTCTGGTCGACTGCCTTTGTAATGACTAGCACAATGGCTGGCACACATAGTCACATCAAAATATCATTATTGAACAACAATGGATAAATGTATGCATACATAAGTACAGTCAGTTTGCTGCCAGTTGAAATGTTTTCTCAGAGGCCGGATTTGCAGTTAAGAGGGATCTTGTAGAGAAGTTATGCCTTTTGGTATTATACAAACCACATTGCGTTGTGATTGCTGATGCACTAAGCTCACTTCCCCATTTGTGAGTTCCTTGAGAACAGGAAGAGTTCTGTCATTGAAACCCTACAGAATAAGCACACAATCAATGTTTGAGAAGTGTACATAAAGTCTGTTTTCTGAGCATGAACTATTTACACAACAAGAATGCTGGAGCATTAGAGAAAATGCAGGAATAGTGTAATCCACTTGTTTTTGTAGGCTACCAAGAATACCTTGATAAATATTAGCTAATGTGCAACCCTTTGCTTGCTATTTAGATTTACTGATTTCAATAGAAAGGAACCTAAAAACTGGCATGTCATATAATCCAGATACCCTCGTAGTTCATAAAATACACATTGGCTCGGTCTGTGGTTGGATTAAATGCCATTGTTTAGGCAGAGTAGGATATGTGCAATAATAGGTCTGCTGAGTGAATGACGGGTTTGGTTAGTGGATGAATTTATCCTGTGTCCTTGCATTTAGTACAATTCTTTTCACTCTTTGAACAAATAAACCAACAGCATTGCTAATCCAGTACATATAAAAAGCACCTTTGGTAAATGCCAGTTTTTCCGAATAAACCCAACAATAAAGATTACTTTTAAATCTCAGTTTCTTACATAACAGTGGCTCTTGTATAGAGAGATTAACACGGTATCTTGTTTCTTCCTGGTGTGATCTTACTTTCATCTTGTGAATATGTCCCTGTTTATGTCTGTATATTCACTTGTATCTTTTTGAATTCTTGGAAAAATTCAGTATCTCAGCACGTTTCAGAGACTAAATAGGCTAGAAGAATGATGACAGTTAATTGTTTTGGGCCAGAATTTACTTGGCACGACTTGGGAAAACGGCAGGAGAGCAATGGAGCATGGCAAAGGAGAGGTGGGCAGTCCACGCCTGCTGCCCAGGGACCTTAACTGGTGGTTTGTCATGTCTTAGCATGACGGTATTTCAAACCATGTGAGTTTGAAAAAATATATATACCCAGCTCAGGGCTTGGTCTGTGAACAATCACCTGCCTTGATTTAAAGCACACAACTCTACTATTGAACCAAATGTTTTGAAGCTAATTAGCCTCAGACTCCGGGCTAAAACCTAAGATAAATTAGGCTGGGTCTAAAAGAAGTCAACTTGCACAGAGACCAGTTCCCAACACCACCACTTCCTTGCCTGGAGCAGCCATGGATGCTTCGGGTCGGAATTTGTTTAGCATGCTGGTAAGTGCAGATCGTCTGGGGAAAGCTTTACAGGTTGGTCGCTTTTGTTTCACTTCTTTATAAGTCCAGGCAAATGATGTTTTATTATTAATAGAGTCATGGAAACCCAAACTTATGAAAGAGGTGAATCAGAAGGTACTTTACTTTACAGAAATATTCTTAACCCTTGAAAGTGAAATGAATCTCATGGAAGTTGATGGAGAAGGGTGTGGGGGGAAGAAAAACTCAGAAGCTAGTGTTTTAGGGGTCAGCTCTGAAGTGATAAGGAATGACAAAGAGAATGTGGATTCCATTGACAAATGTTACTTTTAGAATTATTTAAGGTGAGATCTGCTCTATAAAGAGCTTTGTAAACAGAATGAGCTTCCATGCACCTGGGAGAGGGAGTCAGTCCCCAGAGGGGGCAGGTCAGGTTAAAAGATGCCTGTGCAAAGCAAGGAGAGTGACCAGCTAAGTGCCTCACCTGGGACCATCCCCTAATCCTCTTTGGGGACTTGAGGTCAGGAAGGGTTGGGCCGGGGGCCCTCTGAATGTGTGAAGGTTTGTTTGCTTTCTTGGTAGCCCTTTCTTGTTTATATCTTTAGAACCTGTCCTTTACATTTCAAATCACACTGTGGTTTTCTTTTTACTACTCCTACTTGGTGTTGGCTTCTTGTGTATTTACCTGAGCTAGGGCCATGAATAAGACACTGTGGAATATCACTTTTGTTGAAAAGGTATCATTAAGTCGGTTTCGCTTCCTAGTTTTATGAATAAATACACTTTTGAAGGGGGATTTTGAGATCTATTTTAAAAACATATTTGCATTTATTGAAAAATACCATGAAGACATTGCTAACCACAGTAGGCACACCTTGATTTTCTTTGGTGTAGGGGAAGAGGTAGTCTATTGCTTGTGACCTCTGATTTTCACCATTGTTGACTGTTTGGGGACAAGTTCCTTCACCATTTTACTGCAAAATGGAAGTCACATAAACATGTTATCAAAAAGAAACCATTGGAGCAGATAGTATTTTGGAAAGCTTAATGCATTCACTAAATTATTCCATTTACTTTGATGGAATAAATAACAAGTGCTCATAGACTGTGGTAGCAGCTGGGCTCTAGGAATGAATTAAACATGGGTTCTACCTTTATGGAGTATTATTTAAATCAGTGTTCACTGGTTCTGCAAATCTGCGACAGGGAAGGAAATGTGAGATATTGATAGCTGCCCTCCTATTATTCCTTCTGGATGTCTTGGTAAACCATGGAGAGAGAGAGAAGGAACAGGATTGAGATCATCTGGTGGGCTCTGAGCTCTATTCTAAATTGTACTGATCATTCAAAAAAAATTTGACCCACACTGTACTTGGCTTAAAGAATTTTAAGGTAATATAAGCTCAGTATAGAAAATTTTATAACTGAGACACACTGTGGTACACGTTTCCTCATGACCTTGTCCTATCCTGCCACTGGTTAGCTATATGACTTTGGATAAGTCATTTAAATGTTCTGAATCTCAGTTTCCTCATTTATTTGACAAATGAGAGAGCAGAATTGGATCAGGATTTCTCTTGATATATGAGTCCCAGGACAAGTAGTGTTCAAGACAATGCAGGCAGCATATTGATGAGCATTTCTTTTTTTCTTTGTGTATCACAAAAATATAAATACTGCTTCAAGCTTATAACTTCATAGAAATTATAGCTTAGCAGAAGGCTAAATTAAAGAAAAGAGGGAGGTAATATGAAGAATTATACCAAATAACTAAAAGTACAGGTCATAATTGGTCATTACAACCAATCATGACCAAACATTTTTAAAGTGTGTGACTTACTGAGGTCCAGAAATACTTAAACATAGGATCCCTTCCTTTCTATTGGCCCATAATTAATTTTATATTTAAGTAATATGGTCTCCCTATGAAAATTTTCTAGTGGAAACAGTATTGCAGTATCCAGAATAAACTTGTATCCAGCTTGCTCAAATGATCAGTAAACCAGACCTTTCGGAATGACCTTTTCATGCACTTGTCTTTATGTGAGTCAGTCAGTCACTGCTGCTTCAGACGTAATCTTATTTTTGTTTCCCTCTGTTGTGTTTTCAGATCGAATTTTTGACAGAGAGGATGTTCAAACATCTTCGGAAGTGGTTTGTCACTCATTTTTTTGCACATTCTCGGCAGAGGTCAAGGCTAGTTTCCAAGGATGGAAGGTGCAACATAGAGTTTGGCAATGTGGATGTGCAGTCAAGGTTTATATTCTTTGTGGACATCTGGACAACTGTGCTTGACCTCAAGTGGAGATACAAAATGACTGTGTTCATCACAGCCTTCTTGGGGAGTTGGTTCCTCTTTGGTCTCCTGTGGTATGTGGTAGCTTACGTTCACAAAGACCTCCCAGAGTTCCATCCTTCTGACAATCACACCCCCTGTGTGGAGAACATTAATGGCATGACCTCAGCTTTTCTGTTTTCTCTGGAAACTCAAGTGACCATTGGATATGGATTCAGGTGTGTGACAGAACAATGTGCCACTGCCATTTTTCTGCTTATCTTCCAATCTATTCTTGGAGTTATCATCAACTCTTTCATGTGTGGTGCCATCTTAGCCAAGATCTCCAGACCCAAAAAGCGTGCCAAGACCATTACCTTCAGCAAGAATGCAGTGATCAGCAAACGAGGTGGGAAGCTTTGCCTCTTAATCCGAGTGGCTAATCTTAGAAAGAGCCTCCTTATTGGAAGTCACATATATGGCAAGCTTCTGAAGACCACAGTCACTCCTGAAGGGGAGACCATTATTTTGGATCAGATCAATATCAACTTTGTAGTCGATGCTGGCAATGAAAATTTATTCTTCATCTCCCCATTGACAATTTACCACGTCATTGATCACAACAGCCCTTTCTTCCACATGGCAGCAGAAACTCTTCCCCAGCAGGACTTTGAATTAGTGGTATTTTTAGATGGTACAGTGGAATCAACCAGTGCCACCTGCCAAGTCCGGACATCCTATGTCCCAGAGGAGGTGCTCTGGGGCTACCGTTTTGTTCCCATAGTATCCAAGACCAAGGAAGGGAAATACCGAGTGGACTTCCATAACTTTAGCAAGACGGTGGAAGTGGAGACCCCTCACTGTGCCATGTGCCTTTACAATGAGAGAGATGCTAGAACCAGGATGAAGAAAGGCTATGACAACCCCAACTTCATATTGTCAGAAGTCGATGAGACAGATGACACCAAAATGTAGCAGTGGCTTTTTAATGGGAGTAAAGCAAAGTCTTCCAGATATCTAGTGACTATAAGTATTACAACGTAATCAACAGTTTAGGGGTATGAAAGACCCTTCAAAGTCTACCAGCACAAGGACCCTTGAGCCTCATAACTGTGATCCTACAAATCACAAAGCTCTACAAGGTTATCGTATTAGCACACATGGTGCATTTATATTAATCTGGCATATGGAAGCCAGATAGGAGCTCATTTGGAATCTTGAATATGATTATTTGAGGTTATGCAATGTTGATGGGAACAGGCTAAATCATCAAAAGTCTTAAGGACAGATCAAAAGAGATACTTTTTAAAGTTTCTTTGAAGAAGTTAGGAGCTTTAGATAGGATCAGGGAGCAACCATATTTTCATTTTGATTTTACTAAGAAGAAAAATGTCACTTTCATTTTAACATGGACTTTTGTCACTGGAAGAAATTGTCTTTGGAGTCTGGGGGAGATGAAATAACCAATCAATGACAATAAGAAGAGACTGCTACACAATGAATGATTTGAGGCTCTAACCTTCTTGAACTCTGGTTGTTGGAGATTTTATCTGAATCTTGGTCACACTTATTTCAGGAGAGGCGAGGAAGGCACAGTCCAAGGACTCTGCAGGGCCCAAACTTGCATTGCCTTATGGCCTATCCAGATGCTGAGGCCCCCACCGAACTTTGGCCCAAATGATATCATGCAGTACATTTAGACAGAGGCTAAATCTATACTCAAGAATCTCAGTGAACATTTTCTTGCTAAACAGAATGTTTGACATTGACCTTTAGGGAAAGGTTTTAATATGAATGTCTTGTTCAGTTTTCCACATGCATTATTTTGAATGTATCCTGGAAAAAAATGGAACTTGAAGCTGCTTAGGAATCAAAATGTTTTCAGTGCATTGATTAAATATTAAATTTCTGAAACTGCTCATGCACTGTCCAAAAGTGTCCATTAATATGTATTAACTACGATGGGAAAACTGGCGATAATACTCTTGCCAGGGATGGACTTTCTCCTGGAAGGGGTGGGACTGGAAGGAGGAAGGCAAATAGTATACATTTGTTGTCTTGACTCCCCAGGAGTAAATGAGTTTGGCTGTAGACACACCCCTTCCGGTACAGCTCCATCAAATCTCTCCAGTGTGAGTCTTGGCACATATAGGGGCAGCTGCCAGCAGTTGTCAGTAGCGACGGCTTTATTTTTCCAGGCCTGGGGTTGAGATTGTACAAATCTATAGACACACACTTTAGTCCTTCTGACCCAGACCAGAGGGAATTCTGATGGCCTTGGGTTGTGCACCTTCTCTGTGGCCATGGCCATGGACACAACTGGCTCACAGGAGATAACTCTGTGCCTGTGAATACTTTAATATCATAATTTAATTTGCTGAGAAAGATAACAGAAATCAGATATCCCAAACTTGAAGAAGCTGCAATTCTCTGCTGGCCCATTGACATGAGGTTTTGTGACTCTGTGGCTCTTTGGCTCTTTATAGAATGGAAGGGTAATGTATTGATTCAGTCATTCACAACAGAACATGTTCCTCTGGTCTGTCCTGCTGGTTGGTAACATGCTTGGGGACAGCTGGAAGTGAATGCTCAGAAGCAATCCATTCCCTTTGGTTGTTAAGAGAGCTTAAAGAATCCAACAGGAATCTTTGTGATTGGCTTTTGTTTCTGGGTTTGTCTACTTCCCCAAATTACTTTATTAGGATTAAGACACCCTGCAATTGGAGACCTCTTTTTAATACAAATTTTCATTGAACATCTAACAACCATTAAAATACATCCAACAAAACCCTTAGGAAATGGGATGTGGGCACATAACTTTACATAGTTCTAGGGGAAGTTGGAACCCCCCAAAAGCATAGGAAACTGTGGTAAGCTGAGGCAGAAGAATCACAAGTTTGAGGCCAGCCTCAACAATTTAGCAGGACTCTTAGTAAGGAGAGAGAGAGGGAGAGGGGAGGAAGAGGGAGAGGAGAGAAGAGGAAGAAGAAGAAGAGGAGGAGGAGGAGGAGGAGGAGGAAAGAGAAGGAAGAAGAAAGAGGAGGAGGAGGAAAGAGAAAAGGAGGAAAGAGGAGGAGGAGGGTGGTGGGGGAGGAGGACAGGAGAGGAGAGGGAAAGAAAGAGAAGAGAAAATAAACCAATTGGGCATTTGGAGAGGGAGTTAAGAAGAACATGTGTGTGGGGCGGGGAGGGGTGGCTCAGTGAATAAAGAAAATAAATGGGAAGCAGATATCACCAGAAAACCAAATTCTTACAAGTTAATGCCTCTGCTAAAGGTAGCAGTTTTATTCCAATGTAGTGACATTTTTCCCAGTAGAACCTGACCACATCAATATTCCTATTGTTACAGGTGTGCCATATTATTATATTTGCTGACTTCTCCATTTCAAAAGCAATTCTATATTCATTTACATTAAGAAAGGGTACATTCTACAATATATTATTATATTGAAAGTTTTCCTTGGTACGATTCCCCTTGAATTGCCTAATTTATCTCTGTTGCTTTGGGGATTTTTGACTTAAGAGACACCTAATCCAGTTTAACCTTCCTGGTCTTAAGTTGGCTCAAGGACCAATTTTTAGAGTGACGATCTGAGAGACTGCTGCTAATAAGAGAAAAAAAGAGAAGATCCTAAGTGGCCAGTCAAATCAAGAAGTGATATGATTACTGTGTTTCCATCACTAAAAGGTGTGACACAAGACCTTAAGTAAAGCTTCCCAAGTAGATGGTAGGGACAGTTGAGGAGGCATCTTCCTTGGAGAGTTTTCATAAAACCAGAGATGGGTCTCCAACAGGATGCTGCAGTGAATTGCATGGAGAATCTTTCCTCCTCTAGAAACAGTAGGGAAGCCTCTGATGGAAAAAAAATGCAAATGAACGCTTGGTCCCGCCCCTGGGCCGTTGCTGTCTGCCATTACAGGAAGTGTGTGTCAATCAAAGCTTGACAGGGGAGATAGAACATTTTATTTTGGAAGCCAGAAGTTTGAGAACAATGACTGGAATTTCCTCTTTCTGTCTAGCAAGGGCTGTTTGTCATTGGGGAGATAAAAGTCCAGGGGTAGGGAATAAAGGTTATCGGGAACTGCGCAACACAGAGGCATGTTGGGGGGCATGGTGGGAGGAGGGGTTATGGAGGAAATCTATTTCAATGCCTGTCATTAAGTTTCCATTAAAAGAACATTCAGTTAGGAATTCAAAAATAATTTAATCTCCCTAGCCAGATGCACCCAGCTGGGCTCCTTGGAGCTGAGCCCTGTAGAGAGGGAGATCTGCACACCCGCTGAAGGGGCTGGGAGCTGGTGTGCATCTCCATCCAGCGCATCCCTGACTGCTTTGAATGTTCTAGAAGACACAAGGATCATTCAGGCGAGTGGACTTGTGCCATGGTACGAGAAAAATTTAGTATAAGGGTATTTGGCAAGCTTTTACTATGTCTGAGGCTCTCTTTTAAGCATGTTATGTACACTAACTCATTTGATTTTCACAACAATCCTACGAGGTCATTAGTAGTATTAGACCTATTTTTCACATGAGTCAGATGAAATAAGGAACTTGTCTAGAGTCAAGGGCTGGGACTCAAATCCATGTTGGTCTGTCTTCAAAGCCCAAATGTTTAAAATCACTTGTCTATGCCTTAAAATGAATTGCCCTCTGAGAAGACTCACTGACGCCATCAGATATTTACTAGAAACCCACTGTTGGTGCATGATCTTACCCTTTAGCTTAAGCACAGGTTAGATCATTGCTTAGCACAGGTTAGATCCCCTGTTCAGGGCTTAATAAGCACCAATGGAATTACATGTTCTAGGAGAAGGTGGTGTTTTTCCAGGGATTTTAGGTAACCTGTCCAGTGTGTCTCCAGAAGTATCATGGGCATCCTGAAGATTTGCCTATCCTGTTGGTACAAACTATCCTCTCAATACTGTACACACACACACACACACACACACATATGTATATATATAGTACAATATTCTCTATATATTATATACACTATATATATGTCAGTAGCATATATATATACATACACACACACTATATGTACCAGTTATATATAATTTAAATACACACATATATTTACAGACATTTTTATACATATATATATACATACACACACACACACACACATATCACTATTTCACTCTCTAAGGTGGAGACAGTTATTATTCCTATTCTGATAAATGGAGAAACGGAGCCTCAACTATCCTTGGAGAACAGGGTCTGGGTTTTCTATTCAATTCTATATTCCTAGCACCAGCACACTTACTGACAAAGTCAACAAACATTTTTGAATAAATAATTTTCGAGAACGTACATGGATAATTATAGAATTGAACCTAGATCTGTCCAAAGACCTTTTGATCAAGCTACAACATTTTCTAGCTGAGGGGCTTTGATAGGAGTCTTAACTTCATTGAATCTCAGTTTCCTTTTTTATAAAATGGAATTTTAAAATATAGTTGAGGAAAATGAGTAAAATGATAGATGTACCTGCTCTTGGTAGAAAGTAAAGGGCAAATGAAGAGCCCACACAGGGCAGGAGCCATAGTGTTGAACCCCAGGGGGATGCAGGGAAGGCACTGGCCCACAGGGCAGACCCATGGGGCAGGGCTCTACCAGAGGTCAGAGGAGGCCTGAGGAACAGGTGAGAGCACCCAGAGGCCCATCTGAGATGGGATGGGGCAAGAACTGGGGGCACTGGAGTAAGATCATGATCCTTGGACTTCATTTCAAACCAACAGATGTTGGTATAGAGCTCCCTGTGAGTCACACACCGTGGATACCACGATGAGGGAGTAGGGATCGTGCTCACTGGAAGGAAGGATCCTGGGCCTTAACCAGCCTGGAGGACCAGAGCTAAATTGCAGGATTGTTGATTGTGGAGAAAGTCACTCCTTTGCCTTATGTAATATGCTTATAGTTTAAAAAATTATATGGGCCCTACTGCTAACAATAAATCTATTATTAGTTATAGTTTTAAAATTATTTAAGCTTTAAAACAGTTTATCCTGCTAGTGACTTCAAAACTGTTTTGAAGTCCCTCGTAGTTATTCTCTCAGTGTCAGTATGTAGCAGCTTGACACAGATTCAGGTTCATTTGCTTTAGTTTCTTTCTAATTGCTGGATTGCTTATTGTTTTCCTTTTGTGATTTAACTGTTTTCTTATAAAATTATGAAAAAACTCTCCAGGATTTCAAAGTGATAGAAGAGAGTTTAGAAATCTCACTTCTGTTCTGCCCTATGCTCATTTCTCTTCTAATGTAAAGCTAATCATTCTTACTAGATGTAGCCTACTACTGTTCATTTTTTAAAGTTTTTATTTGTAATTGATAAATAATAATTGTATATATTTGCAGGGTACAATGTAATGTTGTGATACATGTATGTACTGAGGAATTATCTAATTAGTCTAAATTGCATGTCCATCACCTCCAATATTAATAATTTTTTGGTGGTGAGAACACTTAAAATTCTCTTTTAGCTATTTAAACAACACATAATTCCTTGCTGTAGTCACTGTATGGTGCAATAGATCTTGAGGTGGTCTTTTTTTGAAAAAAATATAAGCAATACATATGAATTTACATTTCATTCTGCACAATGGGAAAGGTCCAGAAGCACTGTCTTGCCTTTTTATTTTTTTTTTTCACTTAACCCTCTAATCTGCAGATCATCGTATGAGGATAGTTGCTGAGAACATCTACTTCGGTGGGATCCATCCCCCCCTTTTTCCTTCATTGTTGCTTTCATAGTAACTGCTAGAATCTTACTCTGGAGGCCTGGACCTACTTGCTTGATCTTGAGAGATCGTGGACATGCCTTGCATTCATTACAGCCTGCTCCCTTTGTGGGGTCCCTGCAGTGTCCACTCTCCCTGCCCAGCCCAGTAACGAGCAGGCCCTTGGGGCCAGAGTTCGCAC